CCGGGCCGGTCTGGCGGGGAAGGCAGAACCGGCCCGACCCCGCGGCCTCTCCCCGCGTTGCGGCCCTAGCAGCGCCTCTAACTTGCCATTTTTGTTATTATTTTTAAGATATTAGTACCCCTTGAGGGTTGTCTTTGGTAGCTTAGTAACGGGTATCTTCTGGACAGCTTGGAGGGGCTGCTTTCAAGCTTGCTTAGCCCCAGGAGAATGCCTTATATAAGTAAACTTTTAGTTTATGTTTTGGGAGCAAGCATGCAACAAAGGCAGGAAGAGACGAAAATCACTTTCAAAGGCTGAATCCTGTTTCTTGCAGGGTTGAATAAAACCTCATTTTCATTGAAATGAGTATATTTCTTCAGTTAAATAACTGAGCTCCAAAGTGCTGCACAATCATTATTTTTCCACAGAAAAATGGTCCCATTCAAGGGGCCTAGTGTTCAAGTGGATCATTAGAATATGTGCTGTTTTCATTTTGGTGACTTTGACCTCTACTTTGCAGAGGTGCCGGCCAAGAAGTAGGAAGATCATGCATTATTCTGGAGTTTAAAGGAAGAAAAATCATGGTAATTATTGCATGAGTGTGTTTGCATGTTTACGTAAAATAAATCCAGATCTCAAAACAGAACACATGGCCACGTGTGAATTCTAAAATCTAGTTTTGGTGGAACCCCGGCCTGATCTTTACTTTCAGTTATGCTGAACCCACATTTGTTATTCCTCACCTTTTCAGCTGCCTTCTTAGGTGGTAACTGAAGTGTTGCATCCACACAGGTTCGTGTACACTTGCATGTTGTTGAAGTGGAGCCGAAGACTTGCATAGGTATAAAGCTATAAACAAAGAGCTGGGATCTGAAAATGGCGGTTAAAAGGTATTATTTAGTTTCCCAGTGCTGTTAAGACATCTACGTAGACATCCTAAATGTCAAATCTGGTGCTAAAAGCAGTGATGAGGAAAACCTACTTTTCTGTACAATGATAAAAGTTACTGAAGTTACTAGTGAGTATATTGTAAGACAAAAGCTAAAAGTTGTTTTTCCTTTTTTTTTTTAAATGTCATCTTAGAAGACTTAACTTTTTCTTTCATTTTCCAGCTTGATTGTGGAATCCACCCTGGACTGGAAGGAATGGATGCTCTTCCTTACATTGATCTGATAGATCCTGCTGAGATTGATCTCCTCCTCATTAGCCAGTAAGTAGCGTCTAGAAGAACAAATGCACTTTGCTCTTAGCATTATTCACGTCTAATATATTAAAAGCAGGTTGAAAATATGTGTTATGTAGATGTTAGTGGTATGGCAAAATATTTGAGTCAGTAGTTGCCACCTTTTTAAATTTTATTAAGGCATTAATAGGTCTCTGAGCTCACCGTGACCTCTGGCTTTCATATATCCTACCTTCTTTTAATGCCATGGGACAGCTCTAGAATGTGTTTTATACATAAAGACCATTTTAAGGTATTAGTGGCATTTTTAGTTTTATAGGGCTATGAATGTAAAAAGGTTCTCGTAGACTTAGGTCTTGGAACAACATCCTTGCTTAAATCGACTGAGGACACTCAACTGTACATGACTTAACTAGTCATATGTAAGATACTATAAAATGCTGCAATTTTATGATATATGTGTGTTCTACTTGAATCTCAAAAATCATTAAAATAGTTGAAGTCAGAGGTGAGGCCAAATACAATAATTTTAGTACTCCTGTTTTAATCTGGTGTCCAACTGCAAGTTTAGGATCAGCTTCATTAGCTTTCTGCTATCTTTTCAGAAATTTGTGTGTTCGTTTCCCTTATTTTTTCTCCCCCTCAGCTTATATGTAAATTATAGAAATTGTAATTCTGGGACTCTGTAGGTAAAGTCTTTCAATTAATGGACAAATTCCTGCACTGCTCTTACCTTTTCTCTGTTTTACTGTATTGAATCTAGACCACCATAGGTAACAAGGAGGTTGAAAGTTCTCTATTTCTGGCTTTTTATGGTGCTACATTAATAAAGTGGTGAATTCTATGATGCTGTGTTGTGTAATGTTAATTTATTAATTGGATTCATATGTCTATTTTAAGTTTCCATTTAGATCATTGTGGGGCTTTACCATGGTTTTTACAGAAAACAAGTTTTAAAGGAAGAACATTCATGACGCACGCCACAAAAGCCATTTACAGATGGCTTCTCTCAGACTATGTCAAAGTCAGGTAAGTCAGCCCATTTGTGGTCTTTGTATCTCCTCTGCATTAATTGCTTTCAGTTGCATAACAAATATGAAAAGCTACTCAGTACTGTGCATTTGGGGGGTTTCTTAGATATCTTTAAAGGATCATTCTCAGCTTAAAGCCGTAGTTTCTTTTCATTATCCCGTCTTCATCAAACGTGTTTCACTTAGTAAGGTGAGTTTAATAGTAATAAGACTTGTTTTTGTTCTCTCCAGGAGATGTTTGCTCTCTGATAGTCATACAGTAATTAACTAGTATTGTGAAATATAGTGGCAATATCAAATATTTCTTTGTTTTTTTAATCCTAGATATAGTGTGATTTGTATATACACATAGGTAGTGTATATAGAAGTTTGTTGCAAAAGTGGCTTTATCCAGCCTCTTACCTGAGATGATAATATGTTAGCCTGGCAAGTTTTGGCATTTATTATTTGCTGTTAGAATTGCCTTAAGACAAGGCAGAGGAAGGTTGCTGGATGAAACTGGATGTTGCTGCAAGCAGCAAGATTAGAAGTAACAAGAAATGCCAAATAACATTATCCATGCCTGCAAATTTAGTAATGCTTCTATTAGAAAAATACAGAGGAGCTCCTTAAGTTTAAAGACACTTGCAGAATGGCCTTTTAACTTTGCTTAGGGCAGCTTTGTTAGAGTCACTGGGCTTGATTTCTAGTGTGAGTGACTTAATATTTCTGCATGTCAGTCTTATACTGTTCCCCACCAAGAATATCTGGAGACTTTTTTTTTTTTTTTTCCCCCCCGATGGTTATCTAATCTAGGCTGGTAAAATTAACTGATATTTAGCCATTTCATTTACATCTAGTAACATATCAGCGGATGACATGCTGTATACAGAAACAGACCTGGAAGAAAGCATGGACAAGATTGAAACCATCAACTTCCATGAAGTGAAAGAGGTTGCAGGGATCAAGTTCTGGTGTTACCATGCAGGCCATGTCCTTGGAGCTGCCATGTTCATGATTGAAATAGCTGGTGTGAAGGTACATCCTTTTTGGTGGTACTTGTTATTTTTTTTTTCTTTTCTATGGGCCTGAATTCTAACATAGTCACTAATTACTTATAACTAGGTCCTAAGCTGGTGATTGGAAGTATCAAACAGGCTTGGGCACACAGAAGGGTGGCCTTTTTGAGATTGATTATAATGGATAAGTAATGTTCGTGTATTGAACCAGGTTGTATATTTGGGTTTTATGGAAGTGAGCTGTGACTCATGTGGAATTGGTTAATGTTTGTCTTCCTTGCTCGTCTGCTCAAAGGTAGCTGATAGTTGAGGCAGCCTTACTGAGGCTACATTTTAGCAAAATATATAAACAGGTGTTTGTTTTTCTAATTTTGCTTCACCATGCCAGCCTGGTTGGGTACTTAAATGGCCTTGTGGTACTTCATTTTGTTGGACTATCCATTATGTTTTCATTCTGATATGCAGACTCTTACCAACTTCTTATTTCTACGTAGTATATGTTATATTTTCTGTTAATTTCGATTTTTGCTTCTTAATGATGAGTGTTCCCTGTAAAATAGTGAAAATGCCATCTTTATACACTGAAGGAAAACTTGCAAACATCTTAATAACTGTTTATCTAGTTTTGTTGTGTTGAAAGTGGTGCTTGAAATTCCTTCACTCCAGGTGATTTAAATATAAGCATAGTAATACTGATAAACTACAGAGTACATCAGAGGAGTCTTTAGTTGATCTTCTGATCATAAATTCCTTAAAGTTATCTTTGCTAAGAAAAGTAGAATTCCTATGCAGCACCTTTTTTAAGACTGCTGACTTCATTACCTGTGATCAGAGTAACTGCTTGGCTTTCTCTCTATCATAGCTTTTATATACAGGTGATTTCTCAAGACAGGAAGACCGACATCTGATGGCAGCTGAGATTCCCAATATTAAACCTGATATTCTTATAATTGTGAGTTTTACAAGTGTTTCTTTAAAACAGTAATTAGGTATCCATAGGGATATTACCTTAAATAGAGTTAAAATGCAGTGAGAAATGCTTTCTGTAGTGGAAAATTATTTCACTTTAAATCACTTTAAAACACTACCTTCTACATATTTCCTTTAGACTGGGTATTTCTGAGCTGTGCTGCACATACCACAAGTGAGCATGTTAAGTGGTAGTCCATTCAGCAAAGCAGCATTTCCAGTTAGGAAAATGTACGTTTTTCCTAAAGCCCCATTTAAAAATAATAGTAATTGTACCCTTTTGCTGACAGGGTCTGTCTTTCCAAATTACTGGGAGTAGTTTATGGGTCAGGGAAATGTTGTTTGTATGTCTTGATATAGGTTACAAGATTTTGAGGGTTGTTCCTCTCCCCTATTCTCCCCTCTCCTGCCCCACTTTTGTAACCCTGAAAACTTCACGTGTGCAGTGTAATGGTGTATGAGCAGACCCCCCTTAACTGTAAAACAGAAGTCATGTTTCCTTATGGTATTAATAATATGTGGGTCTCCATTTTCTCCTCAAATTTGGAGAAGACTCAGAAAAGTCTCTGTGTCACTACTTTTGATACTAGTTCTCCCTGTCCGTAGGAGTCCACTTACGGCACTCACATTCATGAGAAAAGGGAAGAGCGAGAGGCGAGGTTCTGTAACACCGTCCATGACATCGTAAATAGAGGAGGCAGAGGCCTTATTCCTGTGTTTGCCTTAGGCCGAGCTCAAGAACTGCTCTTAATTTTAGGTACGTATCTTCACAGTTTCTCTTCATAAAAGGTATGTAAAGTTACATGAGAATATTTTCATGAGGAATCCTAAGGTGTAATAACTTTTAAACAATTCGTCAGCCATTTTCCCAGCATGTTAAGTACCTGAGAATAGCTAATACTTTGTCTGGATGTTAAAAACAAACCCAGAACACACAACCTTTTGCATGTGCACATATAGAAAGGGCAGTTCTGCTCTGGGAGGTGCAAGAGACTGGAAAGAGAAGGGGACGGTTTTCACTTTGCAGGGTAATACGTGTTTGGCTTCTGAATCTTATTGAATGAGAATTTCAGCAAGTAGGGAGTGTTACTAGAGATTGAAAAGTTATTAAAATGTGCATATTCTTTTGAAACTCTTTTGTTAGAAAAAATGTCTTGTTCAAAAGTTTTGGTAGCTTTTTCCGCTTAATTCACAAACCTGTATGAAGAAATCTTTTAAAGAAAAGTTGAGAAGAACATAACAAACACTTTTGATATTTCTGGAGTAAACATGATAAAAGGAAAGCAAATTAGGCTTTGTTAAGAAGGGGAAAAACAGGGAAAAATTATAATTGTAACAATGTATCTTCACATAAAAAGTTTAAGTAATTATTACAAGGTACTTCAGAGGAAAGATTTTTAAATAAATTATTTCCTGGCTTTTGTTTCCTTTTAGCAATCTTACTTGTACTGTTTGCATATTTTAGACTTGTCTTTCTCTCATGCAAATATTAGTGTGATCACAAAGTAACTATCCCAAAATACTTTTTGTCAAGGGTATTTAATCTGAAATGTTACCTAAAATACTTAAAATTCTTTGCATTTTCCATTTCTGTTCAGGTCAACACGAAAAACTGATGTTTGTTTTCAAAATGTGTTATTGATCAATTCAAATGTTATTAAAAAGTTTGGATCTAAATAAGGAGTAGTATTTGGTATTGTATAGTAAGATTATTCACATTTTATTGTCATTGATGAAGTTTGTTTTTGCAAAGAATGTTAAAGAATGTTTTAAATTTCACATAGCCATTAGTTGGTATTTCACCAACCCTCTTTCCCCTATGTGTAGATATGTTTTTATAAAGATAGGCTTGAAAATACAGCTGCTATAGCAAGACACATAATTGGATGCTTAATTAGGTAGAAAATGCAATTGCATCATATGCCAACACAATTAAACCCTACAGGCGTCTGTGCTTGTTTTTCTTCCTTCCATAAGTATCCAACAAAACAAATTATTGTATTATGATATGGAAAATTATTGTAGCAAATGCAGCCTTTTAAAGTTACATAAAGTCCTACTACAACTTATCTTTGTTGGTGTTTTCCATTTTATATTTGAGCTTATTAGGATACTCTGAGCTTCTCTGATAATGTTCTGGAGAGATGGGTCTGCAGATGAAAGCTGTATCACATAAATGGACAACTATAGTCATTAGAGCATAACACTCTCCTTTGACTCTTCCCCAAATACATAATATAAATGTGCTTTATGCAAGCAGAGCTGTGTCCTTGTGGGATGAGGAGTAAGATATGTTTGTATAGCTGCATTCAGACCTCTTCTTTGGGCTTAATAAAGGACATAGCTGTCGTAGTAGTGTGCATACTTAGACCTCGTAGTTCAAATCGGTGATTGTATGCTCTCATCTGCCAAAAACACCTGAGGTTCATCTTGTTTTTTTCCTGTTAGTGAGAGCTGTGTGCCTTTTCAGTTGGTATTCGCCTTTTCTTCTTTCGTTGGGCAGATAAAAAGTCTGTGTTTTTGATTTTTTTGTAATAAGGATGATATATCCAAAATGTCTTTTTTTTTTTTTCTAATGCTGCATTCGTTATATCTTTTGTTTTGTTTTAGATGAATACTGGCAGAATCATCCTGAACTCCATGATATTCCTATATACTATGCATCCTCTTTGGCAAAGAAATGCATGGCAGTTTATCAGACATATGTCAATGCCATGAACGACAAAATTCGCAAGCAAATAAACATCAACAATCCATTTGTTTTCAAGCACATTAGTAATCTGAAGGTGAGCTTGAGAAAGGTTGCTTTACAACAGAGGAAGAATAACAGAATAGCTGTTATTTGTCTGAATATTTTGAATTTCTGTTCCTAATAGTTCAGGTATAAACCTGTAATTAACCAGTCCATCTGTTATGCCAGTCCATGTTTTATGCCAGTAATGTTGGAGCATAAGCCCTCCTCAATTTTCACCGCTGTAAGTAGGAGCTTTCCTAGAAAGGGCTGTTTTTGAGGTTTGGGTATAAGCAGTGAACATAGGGCTTTGTTTATATCCTGTTCAAGTAGATTGCCCTTCATTTAATTGTGCTGTAGCAACTGATGTCCTTGTTTGTCCCCCTAGAGCATGGACCACTTTGATGATATTGGGCCAAGTGTTGTGATGGCTTCGCCAGGTATGATGCAGAGTGGCCTGTCTAGAGAGTTGTTTGAGAGCTGGTGCACAGACAAGAGAAATGGAGTCATCATTGCAGGGTACTGTGTTGAAGGAACCCTTGCTAAGGTGAGGTATTAATGCACCACCGTGTTCTTTAATGCAAAGTCGTATGTCTGTTGCTAAATAAAATGTACAGAAAGAACCTCACTCTTTGCATATGGCCATTTCCAGCACTGGTGTGCAGAATGATCTTTTCTAGGGTTAGTTATCTTGTCTCAAGAAAGAGTGGCTGATATTTTTATTCATCTTTGTACTCGTGACATTACCTAACTATTTGAGTGGAGAATCCAGACCCTAATTCTGAAGGCATCGCTATTAAATCTAACACTGCTGACATGTCAGAGATCAGACTGCTCAGCACACGTTGTGCCACTGGCAGACTGTAGAGAATGAAAACCTCCTTTAGGTGTTTTCACAGCCAGGGGTCACCACAACATGTAGTTTTTGCTTTTAGGACACAAATCACACACTTGTCTCAATTTCAGTGCAGCTTGTAGAGAGATGTATGTGGAAAAGGAATGAAATGCCAAATCTGTTGGGGATGCAAAAGATGGAATGGTGTGTAGTGTGTGCTTGTTTTCATTCATGGGGGTGTGTGTGTTGAGGGATTTGGGTCTGGATTTTTTTTCATTATTTAGCTCTTAATAGTATTTCTTCTTTATGTAAAGCATTAGCTGTATTTCAGTGCAGCTTGTAGAGAGATGTATGTGGAAAAGGAATGAAATGCCAAATCTGTTGGGGATGCAAAAGATGGAATGGTGTGTAGTGTGTGCTTGTTTTCATTCATGGGGGTGTGTGTGTTGAGGGATTTGGGTCTGGATTTTTTTTCATTATTTAGCTCTTAATAGTATTTCTTCTTTATGTAAAGCATTAGCTGTATTATGTCTGTAGGAGGCTTTTAAAATCTTACTTAAAAGTGCTTTTTCTTCTAGCACATCATGTCTGAACCTGAAGAAATCACGACTATGTCAGGGCAAAAACTCCCCCTGAAGATGTCTGTAGATTACATTTCTTTCTCTGCTCACACAGATTATCAACAAACTAGTGAGTTTATCCGGGCCCTGAAACCTCCCCACGTGGTTAGTACATGGCCTACTCGTTTCTCGAGGGTGGGATTCCTGAAACCACTTCCCAGCCTTGCGTTGTCAATGGCAGGAATTGGTGTCTAGCAGTAGGCAGTTTGCTTTGAAAAATCTAAGGGGGAGGTTGTGACTCTTCACACTGTTGTGTTAGCGAAGTAAAAATGATTTTGCTCTCGCTACTGTCTGCACATGGATATCTGGGATGAGTAAAGGCTCTCTGGGAGCAGTAAAGGACCGGAGTTGGAAAATGAGGACTAGGAATTGCAACTCCTTCTGCAGAAGGAGGAGAATTGGTGTGCAAGCAAGTTGCAGCAGAAGAAAATAGGATTTAACTTGATAAATAAACTTAAGAACTTAGTGTACTTTCTGAATTATGCATTTAAAGTTTTTATATATATATACACATATATATATATATACACACACACACACACAAATAAATACATCAACATGCAAACAAAAGCTAATTGTAATTTTTATAGTTGAATTTCTATTTTTATTTCATATTGAATGGAATTGAAATGTATATGACACATTCTGTTTATTTACATGTATTTTTCTAATAAAACTCAGTGTCATGGTGTCTAGGTCTTTGAATATTGCACAGGATTGAAAGGTACAGAACTGAATGAAATAGAGTTGAGCTAATCTCATATGTTGTGACCTCATGAAATACATCTTTGTATAAAGATGAGGTGCAGGGTTTGCTGACAAGTCTGTTTTGAAAAAAATAGTACTTTACATTAAGAGGGAAACCATCTTTCCTATAGATTTTAGTTCATGGAGAGCAGAATGAAATGGCCAGGTTGAAAGCAGCATTGATACGAGAATATGAGGATAACGATGAAGTTCATATAGAAGTGCATAATCCTAGGAATACAGAAGCTGTGACGTTGAATTTCAGAGGAGAAAAACTTGCTAAGGTAAAAAATTAACATTTTGCTGTCTCTACCACAGTGTTTTCCCCTGTGATAAAGAGTATATTTTCTTCCAAGTCTCTCCTTTTAACTCGTTTCCAAATGGATTTGTGTGTTTTCTGCTTGTGAGCTGTGTGTTATGGATCTTGATTTGAACCTATTTCTTTGTGGAATCTGAATTAGAACTTTTCAGCTATTGTGTCTCTGCAAAGGTTGCTGAAGCAGTGCTACCTTACTGTATTCATGCACCTGGTCTAATTGTATACACTTCCTTTAAAATAAAATCCACAGAGAAATCCGTATAATCCTGTAGAAATATAGGATCATAGAGTAATCAGGATGGCACCGAGTCTAACTCAGAGCAGGGCTGACTAGAGCAGGTTGCTCAGGATCTTGTTCATTCCAGTTTTGAATGTCTTCAAGGAAGAAGATTCCACAACCTCTCTGGGCAACCTGCTCCTGCATGCCATTACCCGCAAGGAGAACAGGAACAACAAAAAAAAATACGGGTCTTTCCTAGAAGTACGAAGAGCAGCATTTGAGTGGAATTTCTTCCCAAATTAGGTGTAAAATGCAGTTTGTAGCTATGGTTTCTGTGGTAGCCTTTGATGCAAAAACTTCATGGTCTTTTTACATGATAATTCTTCAGTCTTTTTCTGCTATGTCTCAAAATTATTTCTGTTCAGGGTTACTCTGTTTCCTTTATTTTCAGAGTAATCTCTTTATTGTGTTTGTATTTTCAGCAGAGCCTGTATTTCATTTCCATACTGAACTTCAAGGTATGAAAATTTGATGCACTATATGTTTTTATTTCAGGTGATGGGATCTTTAGCAGATAAGAAGCCAGAGCAAGGACAGAGAATTTCTGGAATCCTGGTTAAAAGAAATTTTAACTATCATATACTTGCTCCTTGTGACCTTTCCAGTAAGTAAAGCTAGTAATATGCTCAGTAGATAACTGAAATTTATTGTATTATTTTTTACTGTTTTTTTTTTTTATAAACAGTTCTAGGGTTTTTTTTTTTGTAATTTTATTTGACAAGCAATTACTGAACCTCTTAGTTTTATTTTGGTGCAATTTTGCCTAAAGCTGTCAACTGTTGAAGTGAGAGACAAGACATTCAGTTCCTTGTTTGCTGAAGTTTAAAATGTTTTCTGATTTTTTTTTCCTTCTAAAAGAAAAAGAGCAAAATTGCGTTTCCTTTCTGGCTACTTAAAAATTATTCCAGTGCATGAATATGTACAAAAAAAGTACACTAAAGTAAAAAGATGGGAGTACAACAAAAATATGTATTGCTGTTATACTATTTATTACTACGTAAAATGATTTATTCTCAGGCTGCAGGAAACTGAACAATGGGGTGGTAGGGTGAAAGGAGTTTGGGGTAAAGGAATTCTGCTGTTGCACTTCGCTGTTTGTCTCTAATGCTGATGATCACCTACAAGCTCTTGTGTCAGTGTCTTAACCACAAATGCATCACTTGTCTTGCAAAAGACAATAGACCTTCCCCAACCCTTAAAAACTGTCCTTTTCAACCCTCTGCCTTGTGTGTTTCTCTGTAGTAGCTTTTCTCCGTAGTGACTTTTCTAGGAAGTACGATCAAAGAAATGATAATTAATACTTTAAAAAAATCTTTTCAGATTACACAGACTTGGCGATGAGCACTGTAACACAGACACAAGCCATTCCATATACTGGCCCTTTCAATCTGCTTTATTATCAGCTACAAAAACTTACTGGTGGGTATTTGGGAAGAAATGTTTGTGATTTATAGCGATTAACTTTGAAAACAACTCGCAGTCTTCAGGGGACTTCTGAGTCTTTACTTTGCCAGTAACCCAAGTACCGTAATTTGTTTCATATTTTGCAACTTTTATTAGATTATGCAGCTTCTGCCAGCTCAAGTTCATGAGTGTGACTCATCCTTTCTGGTGGGATTCTACTGTAGTTGCAGTATAGAATCATGAACATATGGAAGTCTCAGCTGTAAAAGTGAGTGCCATAGCCACTCTGATGCAAAATTTATAAACTTATCTTTTATCACCAGCCCCAAATAGCCTCCTCCAGGTGGCAAGAATCTGTTTTTCCTTATTTTTGGTGGTTTTTTTTTTCTTTCCTTCATTAATGTCAGAATCTCATTCATATCACTAGTGAATAGAACAATATCAAGGCAGTGCCCAAGTCTCATAGCCTGAGGGTTTTTGTTTTCAGTGTTCTCTGCTCACATGAAGTACGATAGGTTTTCCTCTGGGAGTGATGGAGGAGCTGCTCAATTCTGCAAATAGAACACAAAATTTGGTGTTTCTTCTCTCTTCCACTGCTTTACTTACTGAGCACCCTAAGCCATTAAACTGTGAGAAGAAAAAAAAGAAGTAAAATGGTCAACATTGCATATTTTTAAAAAAAATAAAATAAACAAAGTAGTAATATCAGGTAAGGGAAGAGAGTATACACTTCAGTCTTTGAAGTGAATAGTCCTGCTGTGAATAGTCCTGATAATAACAATCTTCTACTTCCTTAAAGTGAGCTGTTCTTATGCAGATAAATATACTCTTGTTTTCAATATAATTTTATTAACTCTTTCTTGTTGCCTTTTAGGTGATGTAGAAGAAATAGAAATCCAACAAAAACCAGCCTTGAAGGTTTTCAAAAATATAACTGTGATCCAGGAACCAGGCATGGTTGTGCTTGAGGTAGGTGTTTCTGGTACATGTGGGCAGTGTTCCAGTATCTGCACAACAGCATTTTATAGGTTCATGGCAAGTTACGTGATTGAATTATTAAATACTTACTGTTGGACAATGATTAGAATGGAAGCTAGAACAAGCTTTCTCTTGAGCTATCATCTTATATCGATTCATGTTCTGTCACGGATGTCTGAATTCCTCACTGTAGTCTCGGTCATGTTTTGAGCATCTTGATGCTGACATTTGAGGATAGCATCTCTGCCCATTCCTTTTTGCAGCAAGTCAACTAACTGATAGATTAAAAGCTGTTTTTCCTTTGGCCAATAGTTTTTGGAAATTATATCAAAAAGTTTCTTTTCTCACTTCCTTCTCAACCTTCCCCCCTGCCATCTAAATAGTTGTAAGTAACTATTTC